ATTTATAAATACATACACGATGAATGATTAAAATGTAAAGATCCTAAATGGATCTAGATGGGATCCAATTCCAAAACCAACCTCCAAGACGTCTCTTGTCACATCTCAAAGAGTTGGTCGCTGCTGCAATGCGTGCCTTTAATGTATTTTCATATCTTAATCTCCTATTTCTTTTTTTTCCAAATATCTCTTTATCGAAATAGAGAAAAGTAATAATATTTATTGATCTTGGTATGATTCAATTTTCACTAATTTGTTTATTCTACTATTTATTACTTTAATCTATTAACATTATCATTGTAAGAAAAAAATCTGCTTTCCTTTTTTTATTTTACTTTTTTTAAATTTTATTTTTATTGTCAGCTAATATTTGTGTTAGGTTTAGCAAAAAGCAAAAGCAAATCAAAAGGGACTATTTCTCGTTTTGGCATGAACTGAAAGCCAACATTAGTTATAAGCAAATTAATTAGTATTGTTAATGGAAGGTTTCTTTTGGTGATGAAACCTAATCCTTGGATTAGAGATCTTAATCATCATTTTTTTTTTCTTTCAATTGTGGTACCAAAACAAAATTCGACTGAATTGGTCCATTTGTTGGTTAATTCAAACCTTTAATATGATTATGACATTGGCTCCTAATACCAAAGAATCACTATCATATTTTCCATGAGGCTATTATTATTGGATTTGAATCCTCGTCAGATTCATTTCCTAGGGATCCTAGTGATCAACGTACTAGACCGTTGATAAAAAATCGTACAGCCACAATTAAATGTTTTATATATTTTTAAAAGTAAAGTAGCCTTGTTTTGCATGAAAAATATAAAAAAGGAAAAAATTGTGGCCGTACGATTTTTTTATCAATAGGTCCACATGCGTTGATCCCTATGATCCCCAGGGAGGGTATCCAGCAAGGATCCAATTCCATGATTATTCTCCATCCTAATGGGCTGCTTAAGTAAACAATGGGAACTTTGAGAATGAAAGTTATAATATCGTCACTCAAATAGTGCGAAAAGGAGATTTTTTTTTAAGTGTTCAATATTCAAATGGTACTTCATGTATTATAAAATAAGTGGACGGAATAAAAAAATAAATTATTTTCTTCACTTATTTAATGACATTTGGAGTACCATTTGAAACCCGATACTTCAAAAAATATCTCGTACAAACATAAAAGTACATTTGTGAACTTGAAACGAGTGGTAAATTTAAAGTCATAATTTACGAACCTCAACAAGACCTAAACAACTAAAAAGTTCAACATGTAGTTTGGAGATAATTTAAGAAAAACTAATGAAAAGAGCTTGAAAACTTTTAGTTTTAACCAAAAGGACAAAAATGTGTTGTAAGTGAATAGTACCATGATTGACCTTTTAGAGTAAAAATATTGCTTTTTATTAAAGTGAACGGTACCTAGAACTTTTCGTTAAAGTTCCCTATAAGTTAAGGTGTGGTGGAGGTATATGGGTGAATGATATTTGATTGTGCGGGGATCAAAATGAATCATTCATGAGTACTTCATCTTTAACCTACAAGATGGACAAAATTTACTTGTTTATTACTTCAACATACCTTACATATCATGAGTGATCCAATCTAATTCAATTGTACATTGAACGTGCCTTAAAAAATTGAGTCAGTACGCATTATTCACGATAATTTTTTAGTGTATCGAAAATACAGTCTAATACACCAAGTGTTATGATAGGATTGGTTGGAAAAAAATTTCTTTAAATATCTAACCAATCTATTATTATACTTTATGTACCAAGTTGTGTTTATAACATCATAAAAAATACCTCATTATCCACATAAGAACTTATGCTTTTCAGTGCTGGTTTCCCAACGAAAACCCAGTTGTTAGTTAACCGGCTGTCCCAAAAATGATTGCAGACGTGCGTGCAACTCCAAGCCCAAGCTATATGTACCTCTGTCTAAACATAAGGGTATGAGGAATAATAGAGGGATTAAATTTGCAAGTTAAATGATATGGTCGTTGATAATTAAATCATTATTTAACTATTGATTAATATTTCTTAAAACACATCATTTAGCTTGCAAATTTAATTTAAAATTTTGATCTCTCTAATATTATTCAACAAATATATGGTCACTGGTGAATCATGATGCTACAAGAGTGTGCGGGTCACGCGATGGAAAAGAGGGTGGGCAAATAATTTTTATTTTTTAAGGACCAAAATATCTAAACAGTTGGTGAGTGGTTGCCCAGTGGACACGTGTCCAACTCAAGGAATTCAGTGGGATGTGGTCTGGGTTCCGTGGAGCATCCGCCAACTTCGAGGCAGCTCAACGTACAATTGGCGGGGGCACCGTCCGCCAATCACAGCCCGCCATAAGTTTTCCACGAGGCAACAAGAGAACCCCAGTCATGAATACGACACACTTTCCTACTCGGCTAATTATAATAAAAAGGATATTTACGTGTCGTTTGGGTGAACCAAAATATGTGATTAGTCGTAGGTTGATTGGTGATTGCCTGATTGGGATTTTGTGTGCGTTGATAGTGTCTGCCTGCATTCAGGTTCGGTATTTTAAATTGAAAATATTTTTATTCACCACATTAAAATGATGGTGATTCACTGAATCTCACTATTTTATTGTGTTGAGGGTCCAAAATATCATTTACAAGTCCTAATCATGTTTCAAGGCCTAACCATTGTGGAAGCGTCACAAGCCAAGTTTAAATTCATGAAAAAACTACGAAGCGGAAAATATGTCTATCTACGATAATGTTATGCCAGTAAAATAATAGTTTATTAGATGTTAAACTCATGCAAATCATGCTTATCTACCATGCCAAACCGTACTATGATATTAATACGTTAATATTATAATACTAGTCACGCCAAGCATGCGACACGCTTAAATGAGCCCAAGCCTTGTCGAGTGATTTTTGGTGTGAATGGTCACCGAACTTCACTGAGCTTACGTGGAATTAGAATTTTGGAGGACTTTTGGGCTACTTGGGAGCAATAAAAGTCCAAGCCTATGATTTTGGCTTCACGTGGAAAGGCTTGACCAACTAGGATACTTAGGAAACAACGAAAACCCAAAGCCGACCTAACCAAATCAAAACCAAACCACATGTTTATCTAAAGTCGTGCGTCTCTTTTATTGTGTAGAAAGAAGCCCACACAGGAAAAAGAAGACAAAGAGCAAGAATGAGCGTTACTAAAGTTGGACGCGTGTTGTGGGACTTGTTCCAAGAAAGGTGTTGTGGGACTGGGTTCAGGAAAGAAGAAACTTTGGGCAGTGTGCTTAAATAGGCTTCACGAGACTCCTAGCCTCTGCAACGTTATACCAAAAAGGAAACCCGTAGCTGCAACCATGGAAATATGAATGAAGACTTAGCCGATTTGGAAGAGGAGAAGAAACCAAGAGATTCCCTAACTGGAGCATGGAAAGATCTTTGCGTCTATTAATACAAGGCATCAATATGCTGTCAGAGGGGAGACACAACAACGCGGGGGGAAGAAGAATGATAAGGGCAAGACTGCACCATGCGAAAAAAACTTTCTCTAAGTGCAGGAAACCCTAGTTCTTTAGGGATAAGCCTTCCTTTCATCTTGAGCCTTCCAATAAGCCTCCTTAATCTTGCTCAACCATCAAACCAATAGCAAACGTAGATTAGCTACTTCGAAACCATACAACCTTCACTACTATGTTTAACATTTAGCGTAACGAACACAAATTGGTCGCGCAAAGCTTATCCCCATCGCACAAACGTCAAAGCGAGGAAAACTTCGTTGTGTAGAATTTGTCGTGCAAAGATCGTGAAGAAAGACTTTGTGCAACGAATAAATACATTGGTTGCTAAGAAGAAGGCGAGACGGTTTCGTCTTCATTGCACCAAATTTTAGGAACGGAGATCTTCGTTGCACAAAATGCTAGGATACAAGTAGCAGTCATCAGGATACATACATGGGATGACTAATCTCTGTCTCTAAGAACTTTGCGCGATGATTTTTATTCTTGCGCCACGAAAATGGATTCATCGCAAAAAATTATGCAAGATTAAGGTATTTGTTGCGCAAAAAATAAAATATATATTTTTTAAATTTATTTTTTTGCTCTAGTTTTAATTTTGTAATAAAATAATGAAATTAAATTGCAATAAAAATATGTAATGAAAAGAAAAATAATTTATTTAAAATAAAAAGAAAATGTACTTACAAGGAAAAAGTTTTAAAAGTAAGGGAGTAAAAATCTAAGAAAAGAATGTGGAATAATTTACAGGGTGATCGTTCACAAGCGGCTAGAACGTTTAGGGCAAGAAGGCCTTAGGGATGAGGACGGGCTCAGAGGTCAAAGGGGCGGAGTTCTGGGCATGCGCAGGTTGGAGAGGCTCGGATGTCGACGGGGTACAAATATCCGGGAGACGAATGCCGGACTCACTAAGGGCCTTTATGATCATTGACATCTCGCTTTTATATGAGGCGAGCTTAGTCTTAAGGCTAGCCACCTCTTCTGTCAAAGCTGTCACCTCGCCCATCAACTACGAGGATGAAGAGGCTCTAGGTTCCCGCCACTGGGCATTCCCCATCCCCCTACAATACGTCCCTGACCTCTGCCCGAGAGTTTGATCCAACGTGTCTATAAGGATCTGAAACCCCACATCCTCGAGGGGATCCATAGACTCGATCGAAGTCTCGGGAAGAAGCTGGGAGACGGACTCCTGAGAACCTGCTGCCTCTTCTCCATCATCGTCACCTGTGTAATATAACATGAAATATTAATAATAACATTTCAAATAATAACCATGATACTTGAATGTGTAAGATAGTAATTACAATTAAAGAATACTTACTTGAAGGGACTCGGCCAACTCATCCTCGGGTCAAACATAAATGTCTACAAAGACATCGATCTCTGGGAATTTTGAACCCTTGAATAGAACAAGATAAGAACAATGTTAATACGAAAAAAATTAATATTACTAACATATTAAAAATTGAATATGAAAAGCTTTATTATTACCTGTCGTTGCGCCTCTATTCTATATGAGAAAGTCCTTGAACCTGAATGGTGGAGAAGAGTCTTCTTCTCCTGATTGATCTTGTTGGCTTTCATCTTCTTCTGTTATATACAAAATAAACATATTAGTTGTTATTTAAATGAAGTATTAAAAAAATCAATAAACATTAGTAAGAAACGTATAATACTTTTAGACTTAATATAAAAAACGTACCACATAGTCGGGCTCCTGAAAATGATTGCAGAGGCACACCCAATTTTCTTCTTGGTCCTCAAACTTCTTCGGGCACCCTCCTCAAGAGCGATTTGCGGATCATCAAATGTTTGAAAATATTGGTGCAGGTCGCTTTTCCATTGCTTGTACCTTTCAATGAAGAGCATGTTGATGTATGCCAACATATTGTCGTTGATGTCGTCGAAATTGTAGTTCGTTTGCAATGTAACAAATTAATTACAAACATTAATTAATATAAATATATAAAATTTAAAGGAAAAGCAATAAAAAGTCAAGATACTGACCGACAAATAATCATGCACCATCGTCGTCACCTCATCTGGCATCGCTTTCCAAGACTTCCATTACATAGAGCAATAGGTCCGATCGACGTGACCAATGTCAGGGGCCAATGCGCTATGCTACTCCACTGTTGGTACAGCCCGATGCCAGTCGTCGTATCCGATCGTGATACGTTTGTTGGTCACTCAGGTGACCTTCGCCGTCTTTAACTGGAGACAAGGTCCCCAGGTATTTTGCTTTGCTGAAAAAAAGTAAAAAAAAAAAACTACAAATTATACCAAAATTTCGCCAGAACCTCCCCTAAAGTTATAACATTTCCCAAACCTTGGACATTGTAATGAATAATATATGATATCTAGCAACAATCACAACATTTGAACAAGCCAAATTTGGACGAAACGCACAGTTGCAGTATGTAACAATTTTGATTGAACTTAATATATGAATAACTAAATTCACAAAGAAATAAAGGGAGTTATTTAACTTTACCTGGTTGTGACCCCGAGGCATTAGTAGTGGATGCCGATGTCGTGTCGGGTGTGCGGGGGTGGCGGTGGACTACGCCTGGCGGTAACAGGTAGCACCACTGAAGAGGCTGATGACATCAGTGCCTAGGAGACTCGGGGACCAACTGGATCAACCGAATTAACTAGCCTGGGGTCCATTTCTGCTGGAGCAGTGGCGACTGAAGTAGGAGGCAGGGAAATCGAATAGGGTGCAATCGTTACCTGCCTTACGACTTCTAATAAGATGCGACGTCTGCACAATTACAAAAAAAAATTAAATGCATATATATGTTGTGATACGACAGCAGCAGCCTTTAGAAATTCAATCCAATTAACGAATGATATGGTTTCGGGGTTGCTCAAAATACCAATGCACAGAAGATTTTTTTCTTTTAAAAATATAATGTAGATTAGCTTGAAGGAAAAACTCTTTGCTGCAATATTAGTGCACTCGGTGTCTTAGTGTTGCCACAAATGCAGACTACTATATGTGTTATATATATAACTTTAGACAGTGCATATACTCGTTTAGGTAAGCTGAAATAACAATAAATTCAATCCAATTCCAATACCCACGTTCCACAGTAACAACCAGGATCGTCTCTCCAAAACATTACAAGTACATTATGATTGTTGATTCTAGTAAGAACACACAACTTACTTATGCAATTCTTCATATTAAAGTTTCAAGGAGCACATCAAGAACTGAAGGAACACAAAAAATAACTATATAAAGGGGAGCCACGTCACTGAAAGCTGTTACACCCTTCAGAAGCATTCATCAAGAGATTTACACCCCTTTCTTTCTAATTAGATAATACACCTTTCCAAAAATTAACATAATAAAGCTTAATAGTATCCAAAGGAGATTATTCAAGAAGCTCCAATTAAGTAAATAAGATACACTAATGAGATCTTAGCCTCCGGTAATTTTATACTCAATAGTCTCAATCAAAGACATTCCCACCACCCATGTACAAATGGGGATTATGGTAGTAACAATCAAGAACTGCCTCTATTTGGAACCAAAGCATACAGCAAAAACTATGGATTAATAAATTAATCCACATAGGTATATTTCGAATCCAATTGGTCAAAAGTGCAAGCCATAGGATAGGATTTTAGACCGCCCACTTTAAGGACTTATTTCACCGATTCAGCTCACTTTGTTCATACATGGTGCCCCACATAAAGATCCGTAATACACACACACACACACACACGCATATATTTTGTAACTGAAACGGCAAATAAAGGCTAATTAGATCATTACTTAAGGTAACATCTTCTCTACACTATATAGATGAACAAAGGTTTTTATTTTTGTGAGTTTGATGATGTATCTACATGAGTCCTACGAATTTTAATCGTTTGTTTTAGTATATAAATACAAAGCATATATTGTGTCCGATCAACTGTAAGATTATATGCGTGAAATTTTATGCTATCTTCAAGATGTTTTTCCAGCAGTAGCCAAACTAAAAAGCATTTCAAAAAATTAAATAAAATCATCCCAACCACCAAAAAAAAAAAAAAAAAAAAACAAATGATTGAAACTTTTGATAATTTGGGTACATCCGTACTAGATAGTTGTATCTTTTAATTTGATTGATATTGCAAGAGGGATGAATTGGGCATACAATCTCATATATAAAATAAATGCTTATCCACTTGAGGTACAAGTTTTTCGTTAATTTTTTTATTTATTTTTTATTTCAAGAGTTTATTTTCATAATTGAATTTGTAATACTACCCTCTCCCTCCTACCATGAACGAGTTATATTAATTTAGAAGACATGTTCTACAACACCACACCTGCAACGCTGCAATGATGGTTGGGAATAAGTTTGTGTCAAAGCTAATGGCATAATTGACACTTGACTCTCAACAAGTAATGTTGGGTGACTATATGAGCGAAAAGAACAAAGAAGAGCTGCACCTTAACAACTAGCAACCCATCAGACATGTTATCGTCACACGTAGCGTAAATGCTTCTTATATACATAAAACCTTGCACTTGACAGATTATGTGTATACTTTATAAATAAAACTAAGTGTTATAATTAATCCAAATGTGAATTGAGTTTAGTAATGCCAGTTGATTCTAAAGTTCGACGAAACAAGACTGCTAAGGAGAACCTATGAATGAATCATTAATTCCCCATCCACAGATATAACACAAAAACAAATTTTTTTATTTTTATTTTTTATAGAACACACAATTGACATACAAAGTCGAGCACAAACCTAGCTGGGACAGGTAGTTGCTAAGGAAAACCCATGAATGAATTATGAACTTGTTCATGATCTGATTAAGTAGCCGAAATTAACAAAAATTGCAAACAACTAACAAGCAATTATCAAAGCATTAGATTTAGAGCAACCAGAAAGCAATTAATTATAAAAATCAAAGCAGATTAGAACCCTAATTACAAAGCAATTATCAAAGCATGAAATAATCCTAAAACTACAAAAATTACAAATTCCTAAAATTTTCTAGAACCCTAATTCCTAAAATTACAAATTCCTAAAATTTTCTTGAACCCTAATTCCTAACTTTACTAGAGTTAAGTAAATTGAAAAATTACTTTAGAGAGAGAGAGAGAGAGAGAGAGAGAGAGAGAGAGAGAGAGAGAGAGTGTGTGTGTGTGTGTGTGAGTCACAGAGATTGAGTGAGAGAGAAGGCTGTCGGAGGAGGAAGAGAGAGTGCGAGGAGGCGAGAGGGTGACAGAGATATGGTGAGAGAGAGCGTTGTCGGAATGAGAGAGGAGAGAAAGGTTGTGTAAGAAAGAGTTTACAGAGAGGAAGAGCTGAGGGGAGAGTGTTCGGCATTTCAGTTAAATCTTGAGATTCTTGCGCGACGAATAGAAAGGGTATTTGTTGCGCAAAAAATTAAAATTTTCATGAAATTATTTTGGTGCCCGCCCAGAAAGTCAAAATTTCAGCTCCTTGTGCGACGAAAAGGAATGTAGTCATTGCGCAATGAACATTTGTACGACGAATACCTTCATGTTCGTCGCACAATTAGCTGAAAATTTAATTTACCCGGGTCAAATTTTTTTTTTAATTTAAATTTATTCAAATAAAAACAATTTATTTGTAACATAAGATAAATAAATTACAAAAAATATCATTTAATATGTTTTACAAAGCAAGTCACAAATAAATTACATTATTCATCATCCGAACTATAATAACTTTCACTATCATTGCTATCATCATTTTAGTCTCCCATTCCTCCTTCTCGATAGGTACATCACCGTCGTCATTCGGGCCCACTGCATCATCGTATCTTGGAAGATTATTGAAGTCAATTGTAATTGACTGATCGGTATTTCGATTGAAGACACTCCTTGTATCTGAAAGGGTTCTTGGATAAGATTTGTATTTCGAAGTGTTTCCGCATCATTTTCCATTGAAGATTCTAAACGTTGGTCAGCAACGTTGTTGACTTAGTCGTCAGTAGAGTCTTGTTTTGGTATAACATACACATTCATCTAATCCATCTTTTGAACAACTTTCCAACCTTTCTCGACTTTAAGGTCATCTAGATACACAATCTGTTTTGCCATGTTTACCAAAATGTAAGGGTCGCCATCGTACTAAGTTCTGTTAGTATTCACAGATAGTAAGTCATGGTCGATTTTAACTCTTCCTTGCCTATTTGGGTTTGTATCAAACTATCGACACTTAAACATGATCACTTGGCATTGGTCTTTGTAAAGCAATTGCACGACACTAGTTAGTTTGCTATAGAAATCAGTGTATGTACTTTTGCCTCCACATGGGACATGGACACCTTTGTTTTGCGTACACAACTTGTCATCTCATGCAGACCTCAAAAACTTGACGCCGTTAACATGGCAACCCGAGAACAATTCAGCATGCATCGGTCTGAATGCCAAGTTATATAACTCTTCACTGTACATGGGGGAATTCGATGCTTTCAATTGATTCACCTAACATTATACAAAAACATACACCTGTTAGTTTGAGAAAATTAAATACTACAATATATATGTCAAATACAAAACACTTATAACTTACATATTCAAGAAACCACTGTGGAAACAATTCACGGTGTTTCTTGGCATACAAATGTGATGGATGTTCTCACTTCATCATCTCTTCATGCTCATCTAGGTCTGCCATTGTCTCGTCACAATTGTTCAATAGAAACCAATGCACTATCTCCAAAGGGTCGTGCACTTTAAGCAAAAACAAAAAGTTTCTCCTTTCTCACACCCCCGTCATTATTGCACTGAGGATGATTGATAATCATCTCCACATCTTTTAAATACATACCACAAAATGTAAGCAACTTATATTGAACCTAAGCCTTTATAACTGATCATTCGAGCTTCGCCCTATCACTACTACAAAAGAGGCTATCACTGGCGGTGAAAACCAATAAGAAACTCCAATTACTGTGGAATTTTTGGTAAAAATTTGACATCAAATTGTGCAATGTCGGATTAGAGAACTGATACCGTTGCTAACGTCACGAAAAGGGTATTGACATTGGTTAGTCCCCTTAATCCGCCACCAAGAAGCAAAGTAATATAAAACAAAAAAGAACAACAGTGTTGGTTAAAAATGACATCTAACCTTACGTCGGTTAGAAGCGATGTTGAATTCTAACATGATGGCAGTCCCAATCGACATCAAGCAACAATTAAAGAATTAAATATCAAACCTACTGTCGGTCCTAACC